CACCGAATAAATACCAGCCCTGCAGAAAGCAGTGAGTAATGTGGATTTACTAGAGAACAGTGAGCACATTTTCCCAACCAGCATTTTTATATTTATTGGAATGCCTGAAGGAAAAGCAGAGGGTATAGCTGGATGGCAGAAATCGTACAGTTTCGATTAGGCAAAGGCTTCAAAGCCTCCCCTACAAGGAGTAGCATATGCATCAGCTCCAGTAGCATATGCTTTTTCACACAATGCCCAAGTAACCTGTGGAACTCACTGCCACATGATATATTTGAGGTCAAGAGTTTAGTAGGACTAAAGAAAAGGTTGATCCCTTAAGAATATGTGCCAGCTAGTTATGCTAGACTATCTGTTCAGCCTTGTACTTAGCTGTGACACTGAGTGCCTTTTCCAGACCTGAAGAAGAGCTCTGTGTAACTTGAAAGCTTGTCTCTCTCACTAACAGAAGTTGGTCCAATAAAAGATTTAAAAATTTTATTAAGATGATGTTAAAAAAAATAGTGAACAGAGTTTGAGCATAGAAGTTTCTGGTTATCAGGGAATAACATACAGATTATCGAGGGTGCAAAGTTTGGCTTAAGATCAGGTGGCATGAGGAATACATAATCTGCAATATCCCCGATTGGGGGTAAAAGGTTGATGGGTCAAAGTACAGACATTGAGATATGAGGGTATGAAGTTCATAGAGTGGTTGTGTTCGGGTGTGGAGTATAATGAGTGGATATGATGATGAGGATGGATTGACCCTCATTTAGTGAGATTTAATGTTTAGGGAGTTTATGGTTCCAGTTCATATGATCCAACGGAGAAGGTCACTTGGTCCCTTTCTCGTAGTGGGAGAACGATGTCTCCTAATGTCCTGGGACCAACACGACTACAACAACACTGCATATAAGGAAGATCTTGGACATTTACAGGGCTAACAAGAATAACCAGCATTATAGCATGGATTAAAAATAACCAAGACTTGTGGAAGGGCCATAAAGCCTCCTTTTTCAGGGCAGGAGCCTCGACATCTCTTTGTCAGGAGGGTACTTCCCCTGGGGGCAGGTTATCCCATCGCTGACTCCTGAAGGGTTCCTGCACTTCCCTCTGAAGCAGCTGGTGTTGGCTACTGACAGGTATGTGATACTTGTCTAGCTGGACTCATAGGCGCCAACTTTCTCCGGCGCCGGTGGGTGCCCGTGCCCCCCGCCCCTTTCTCCACCCCTGGCCCCGCCCCGACTCCACCCTTTCCCTGCCCCTGGCCCTGCCCCCATTTCAACCCCATCCCCAAAGTCCCCACCCTAACTCTGCCCACTCCCTGCCCCTATTGGATCCCTTCCCCAAATCCCCGCCCCGGCCCCACCTCTTCCCCCAGCGCACCACGTTCCCCCTCCTCCCTGCCCCACGAATCAGCTGTTTCATGGCGCAAGTGCTGGGAGGGAGGGGGGGAGAAGCAGGATGCGGTGGTGCGCTCGCAGAGGAGGTGGAGGTAAGCTGGAGTGGAGGGGCGGGGTGGGGAGCTGCCGGTGGATGCTGAGCACCCACCAATTTTTTTCCTTGGGTGCTCCAGCCCCAGAGCACCCACGGAGTCGGCGCCTATGGTTGGACTCCTGGTCTGGCAATTCCCATGTTCCCAGAGACAGTGAATCTTCAAAAGCTGTAATAGGAGTCTAGGGAATTGTCTGTATTACTGTCAGGGAGTCTGGTGAGATGGCTTATCTTCCTGGGTCTAGCATTTGGGTGTGCCTCAGTTTATCCATCTGTAAAATGGATTAAATTATACTGACCTGCCTTTGCAAAGTACTTTCAGATCCTAGAATGGAAAGTGCGAAATAGAATCATTTAATTTGTTAAAAATAAACACTGCAGTCAGAAGGGCTGTGTGTGTTAGGACGTCGGTATGAAGTAGTGCAGTAGAAAGGCGGCATTTGTTCAGAGCAGCATAGACATTTGCTGCAGGGAAATAGATCACTATCAGTCAAATGGTCATGTAGACTCTTGGGTGCCATCTGGTGGACACATGAGGGAAGGTCCTTAGATGGAGTTAATTGTCATAGCTCCATTGAAGTCAATACAGTGATGACAATGTACAGTGGCCGAAGAGCTGTTCCACAGAGTCCATGTAAAAATTCGCTCAGTGGCATATTTTCTGGATTTAAATCCTACCACGATCAAAATGGGTTTAATGTGTTTAAATATTGTTAGAGAAAAAAATTGCCTGGGCAGATGTGAGCTGCCTTGTGGCTCTTGTTAACTGGAATCTATTTGACAGATTTGCAAAGTACAGAATTCATAAGGTGCAGCCTGTATGTGTCACACAGGGGATCAAAACTGAGACTTTTAGATTTAGCCTCTTGCTCTCAGGGCGATGGTCTAGGAGGGCTGTGGAGGCAGCACCTGATCCTGTAAAATTCAATTCAAATGTGAGGCAAGAAAGGAAAATCTTGGTTACCGTCCTCTTCCGGCTCTTGCAGAGCATCTTGACTTATCTGTGTCAGTCCCTTAGATGGTGAGCTCTTCAGCATAGAAACTGTCTTTAATTTTTGTCTTATAAAGGGTTGAGGGCACTGTTGGCACATACCACATAATGACAACAGGCCAACAAACGTCCAGCCAGGGATTTCACAAATGCTCATTTAACAAACAAGCAGGACACAAAGAACTTGTAATAAAGCTCCCTAACACTTACTACACTTACTACGGAAATGAATTTTATTAAAAGATAATTTAATATTCAAGAATACAAAGCAACATATTAACATTAAATACACATCTTTTGAGGCACGATGTGGAGTGAGTGGGTGATTTCCCCCATTTTCTGGCCCAAGCTCTACAACTGCTGCGAGTAAATCCTTAGCGTTTCTTTTAGGATCTTGTTAAGAAACAGGAACAAACAAAAAGATCAGGGATAGGGTAAGAGAAAAAAGAAGGTGGCCAACTTTATCAGAAGAAAAAGAGAGATGCTGAGCAGACTTGGAGAGATGTAATATTAGCGTTAACCATTTGCCTATGGCTGGGGTGGCCAACCTGAACTGAGAAGGAGCCAGAATTTACCAATGTACGTTGCCAAAGAGCCACAGTAATACGTCAGCAGCCCTACATCAGCTCCCCCACACACAGCTCCCAGCACCTCCCACCTACCGGCAGCCCTGTCGATCAGCACCTCCCCCTCTCTCCCCGCACCTCCCGATCAGCTGTTTCATGGGGTGCAGGAGGCTCTGGGGAGGAGCGAGGGCACGGCAGGCTCAGGGAAGGGGGTGGAGTGGGGGCAAAGCCTGTGGCAGAGTCGGGGGTTGAGCAGTGAGCATCCCCCGGCACATTGGAAAGTTGGTGCCTGTAGCTCCAGCCCTGGAGTTGGTGCCTATACAAGGAGCCACATATTAACTTCTGAAGAGCCACATGTGGCTCCGGAGCCACAGGTTGGCCACCCCTGGCCTTTGGCTTCCTGGTTCAGACACGAGTAGCTCAACAGCTGCTCACTATTGGAGAAATTCACCCCTATGCAAAAGTAGCTTAAATGGGTGGCTAGTCCTTGCACTGCCCTCTGCACAGGGGTGAATTTCACCCTGTGCATAACCAGAAACCAAGAAAATCCATATCAGTGGATCACAGTATGCACCCTATTACAATAAATCACCCCAAGTAGCTACTCATCATCTTATTTCACATATATCAGTGTTAGCTCATTACATAATATTCATGTATTCATCTGGGTCCTAATCTTGAGATCGTTACTCAGACAAAAGTCACATGGACTTAGTTTGGTTCTGATACCATCAGAATAGGGCTCCATGGTGAATATCACTGTGCATGTGGGGGTGTCTTAGTGTGATCCTGATATGGAAGATGTTGAGAACCACCAAAATACAGACTAGTCTTGCTTTGGATTAGTGAAAATGTGCCCTTCTGTAATGGGTTCAAGGGATTATGTTTGTGACACAACAGTTAGAGATGCTAGAGAGTGAGGGGTCTGTTGGAAAAGCAGAGAGATGGAATTAAGATAAAGTAACACACTGAGGCTGCTCACTGGTTGGCACCAGGGCCGGCTCCAGGCACCAGCCTACCAAGCATGTGCTTGGGGCGGCACCTGGAGGGGGGCGGCACGGCGCTCGGGGAGATCGGGGCCGCGGCTGGGCTCGCCGCCCTCCCTCTGGCGCTCCAGCCGGCTGGGGAGAGCGGGGCCGCGGCCGGGCTCAGTGTCCTCCCCTGCCACGCTCCCTGCCGGGGGCCGGGGGGCAGCGGGAGGCTTTTTTGCCTGGGGCGGCAAAAAAGCCAGAGCCGACCCTGTTTGGCACAATCTCTTCTCCTTCCTAAAAGACACATGATTTTATCAGTTTATAGAAAATAGAAATTGCAGCAGTGGAAGCCCCAAACCATGTCAACACACTCTGCTTCACTGGATTTGTGCTGAAAAATGAGGGATGCCGTGAATTAAACAAATCAGTGGAGGTCTGTAGCTTCAATAAAGTGACCATTTGTGAGTGTTTCCTCCAATGGCCTGATCTTTACAGTCATTTCCTCTCTGCCTAGGTGTCCACAGCCAAGTAATCTGTGCTCTCGCTGTAGTGCCTCACACTGTGCTAAGCTGTGTATCACACTGAACCCATCCCTTGCAGAAAAACTCCTGGCACCAGTCGCAGATGTTTGCTTTCCATGAACAGAGCTTCTGGACTTTTTTTTGAATGCTCTCTTGGAGTTTGCTAAACAGTAAAAAAAGCAAATTCTGGGCTGACCCACAGCCTCCTGATAATTCATAGCAGAGGTCTTTCCTGCAAGCTCCATCCCTAACAGAGATGCTGGGATTGGGTCCTCATCTCATCCCCTTCTCTGTCCCTGCTAGGGTGACCAGAAAGCAAGTGTGAAAAATCGGGACAGGGGGTGGGGGGTAATAGGAGCCTATATAAGAAAAAGACCCAAAAATCAGGACTGTCCCTATGAAATCGGGACATCTGGTCACCCTAGTCCCCACCACTCAGCAGGCAGGCCTGTCTCACTTTCCAGCAGTGCACTCCTCATTGTTCACAAAGGTTTTCCTGGGATGGTGTCCCCAGGTCAGGGTTTGGTTCGGGTTCAGTGCAGTCTGTGCTTGTCCTTTCCAGAGAAACTTCAGGGGACCCTGTGGAAGTGTTGTTGGTTTGAAACTTGGAGACGATCCTGGCAGTTTCCTGGGTGATCTCAAAATGTCTGAGTTGCTGTTTTCCTCCAGAACGTCGCTGCAGTGTGCTGGTCTCTGGTGAGCTACTCCTGCTGCCTTTCTTCTCCAGGACTTCCTTCGTCAAAGGGCTGCAGGCTGCAGGATTGCCTTCGGCATCAGCCTCCATCAGAGGGCTTGACAGAGCAGCAGCCATCAAGGACAAGCTGGAAGGTTTGTGAATGATTGGCCTCATTTTGGCCTGTGCCGCTCGAGGATACTTCACAGGCTGCCGGCTGAAGTACCCCCTGGGTTGCGTCCCTAGAACTGAATCAGAATCTGGATCTGGCTTTTCGTGCACTGATTCCTCAGGGTCCTCCAGCTCAGAGCCATCATTTCTATTCAAATCTGAACAAAACATTAGAGAATTATTTTAAAAGGAGGTTCCCCCTCAGCCTAGAGCAGTGGTGGGCAACCTGCGGCTGACGGGCCGCAGGTTGCCCACCACTGGCCTGGAGCGTGCGGCCTAGCTAATGTGACAAATTGGACAAGTACAAATCCCTGTACAAACACACAAGTGGAGGCCAGTCCCCTGTTCAGTGCTGGGGACTGAGCCTCCTCTCTTAATGCTGGTGTAAATGGTGACAAGTGAGGAGAGACATGGTGTGAAATGGGCGCAAGTGAGGGGAGATCAGGTGCTGCGTTCTCAAGCCTGTGAATCCTGCCTACAACACCTTAGAGAATCGACTCTGGTGGGTAAGTGTAGGCCTCCCGGCCTCTAGCAGCAGGGCTTGTGAGGAGTGAAGGAAAACCCCTTCCTGAGAAGGGCTCATCATACACTGAAACCTAATGGCATGCTAGCCCGGTGGCTGTGATGGAGTGGGCTGCCTAGATGGAGGAAAGTGGCAGGGTGATGCCATGCCTTACCCCATACACAGGGACACATGCAGAGACAGGCAGACACAGAAGCTGTGAAAGTTCAGTAAACACAGATCAAGCCAACCCAAAACCTGCTCCATGACCATGTGCCCCTGCTTGACATTTACCTAAGGGATCTGTGCTCAGGGGACTGTGGGCTCCCTCCATTGTCAGCTCATTGATGGCTTCACTGGAAGATGACTTATCAGACACGTAGCCCTCACTTGAATCATGCTTGAAGGAGAAACTCTGTAGGAAAAAGCCAGGACTGTGAACCTGTTTCGACAGGGCTCTCCTTTCAGATTAATTACGATATGCAGTTCCCTGAGTGCTGCAGTAGCCAAGGGAACAAAGATAATCGGCTAATGGCGAAAATATATTGATCTCCATTTCAGCTTGCCCAATGCAAAACCACAGTGCTAAAGCTGGCAGGCTCAGCAAGAGAGGGAGAGGCCTCTTAGAGCTGGGGCTAGGACCCCGTTTTACTGGGTGCTACACAGACACAGAGTGCGGGACAGTCCTGCCCTGAAGAATCTAACTAGAGAAAGGCTGTGAGGTGAAACAGTGGGGAGGCGATTTGCCCAAGGTCACACAACTGGTCAGAGCCGACAACAGAACCCAGGTGTCCAAAGTGCCAATTCAGCGCTCTGCCCATTGAATCATGCTGCCTGACACAAAAGGCACCTCAGGAGCAGGGGTTGCTTTCTGGCAGGAGAAACGAGACCTGTGCCAAGGTTTACATCTATGTATCCTACACATATTAAAACAGACCCTTTTAGAATGAAGGGGCGATAATTCTGCCTGGGAGTTGTGGGGAGATCAGGTTCATTCTCTGGGTTTATGGCACCTTCAGAAAACCCTGCATGGAAGCGCAGCCCCATTATTTAGAGCCACCTGTTCCTTATGCTCGAAATAAATCAGGAATGAGCCAATTAAAAGCTTGGTGAAGAACTGATTATGAAAATGGCACTAAATTCATGTCACCTCCCTGGTGCCCTCTGGATAGGTCATGATGCGCAGCATTAAGGGACAGCAGCCACATTATCTGTCATACTGCAGCCTCGCTCAGTGATTCCTTTGCCGGTCCTTGTGCAGACGGACAAAGTGGGGGGAAGCAACAGAAACATAGCCATTAATTACAGCAAAGTAATTACTATTAGATTGAGCCTGAGATGGCTGCTACAGTGGGGCCCGAACATCATTGCTCTTATGAGCCCAATTTCCCATGGAAGTCAGTGGGAATTTGTTCAGGGATTTATCAAAATCTTCACAATTTGGCTTTATTATTATATTGAGAACTCCTATAGAACTTAATTCCCTCCCCCCCAAATAATTTTTGACCTTTCCTGTAGAATTTAGTAACCATCCCTGCTGTAGAATTATATAGGATGGTGTGACAGGGCATCTGCCCCGCACTGGCCATGATAGGGTTAAAACCCAGCCTGAAGGGCTACAAGGAAACAGCCAATTCGGGCGGTGGCTGCACGGCTGGACCAGCCAATCAGGGCCCAGCTGGCCCATATAAAAGGAAGCTGTAGGCCAGCGCAAGGGAGTCTGCTGCAGGAAGCCCAAGGGAGGGGACTGGCTTCCTAGAGGGCTGCAGAAACTAGTACCGTGAACAGGGCTGCTAGGACTTGCAGGCCCAAGGCCCTGGGAAGAGGGTGAAGGAGCCAGAGGCAGGAGCCGAAGGTGCTGGGGCTGTGGGGAAGTGGCCCAGGGACTTGAGACAGACTGGTGGAGAAAGAAAGGAGGGGCAGTGGGAAGCTGTTATTTACAGGGTCCCCGGGCTGGGACCCAGAATAGTGGGTGGGCCTGTGTCCCTCCCTTCCTCCCCTCCACTCGCCGCTGAAGAAGCGGCCAGGCTACGGACTGAAAGCCGCTGTGAGGAGCGGCTAGACTGTTGCAGAAGGAGTCCCCTGGAAGGGGGAACCCGGATTATGACACAGCCGGAGGGCTGTGCCACAAAGCAGAGGTGGCGAGATTGGAACTGTAGTGGGTCTGCAGGCGGAGACAAGGACAGGAGAGCCACCACCACCGGAGGGCACACCCGCTGACCGGAGCTAATTCCCAAAATGGCCAGCAGGAGGCACCAGTGTGGTGAGTGACCCCGTGACAGATGGTTTAAAAAAAACCCCTCCAAACTATGGAAAGGGGATCATTGCCTATTATATTCAGTAGGTTTTTATAAAGCCCTATTAGATTCATCCCTATTAAATTATATTGGACTTTTCCATATGGGGAATGGAAGTCAGGTGCACTGTCAGATTAATATCTGCTTTTCAGCTGGGATCACAGTCCCTATAAATCCCTTAGGCCTCAGTGACGGGGAACCATGGGGAAAGCAGTACCACTGCCCACCAGACATGAACGTGACTATTAAGAAAACGAAGCCACACACTCACTCTCTCTCTCTCCCTTCCTTCGCGGTGGCCTGTACACAGGACGGGGAGACAGATACTGATCATTCACGCTTCGACTCCCCCTGTGACCTTGGGAAAGTCACTTTCCCTCTCTCTGCCTCAGGTAATTCAGCTATAAACTGTGGGTAACACCCCTGACATAGCTCCCAGGAGGTATTGCCAATTACCTCAAGTTTTAAAGTGGTTTGAAGAGGAAGGGTGCTAGGCATTATTGTGAGAGAAGTGTCGGGCAGATGGGGAGGGCTGGAGAGGTGCTTAGCACTCAGCAGCACAGAAACACAGCCTATCTAGCAAAAACAACAAGGAGTCCGGTGGCACCTATAAATCTGTTAGTCTTTAAGGTGCCACCGGACTCCTTGTTGTTTTTGCGGATACAGACTAACGCGCTACCCCCCGATACTTGGTAGCCTATCTAGCCACAGCTGAACTACGCCTCAGAGGGAGGCAAGCCCAGCAGGTCTGGGCTGGGGATCCTGCTGTATCCTTCTCTATTTATACAATCATCTATTCCATGAACGGTAAAACTATCTACTGAGAGACACAGCAACGTCCTGAGTAACGCAGTCTGGAGAAACCCACGTCTTTTCTGTAGGAATCGGACTCTTTAAAATGTGCAGCAAAACATCCTTCAGAGCTGTCTGGGGAGCTGCTGAGGGATCTGTAGCTTGGAATTTCTTCCAGTTCTCCCATTCCACAGGAGTTGCCCATCTGCTCTTTGCTCTCTGAATAACCCACGGATGCCAAGTGGCTTCACTTTCTGTAAGATCCCGTTTTCCTCGCTAATCCAACTCCCTGTGACTATAACAGGGTCACAGGGCCCAGCTCAGTGTCTCCGAGCTGTACCTCTGTGGTCACACCCTGGGCTTTCTCAGTGCTCTGCTTCTCCTCTTTGTCCTTCTCTGCCAAGGCTTCTTGCGAAGTGTTTTCATACAAAGACGGAGGCAAGTCATCCATCCCAAAGACCTTCTCGTAGCTCAGAATGAGAAACTCCACAATCTGGGCCTGGTACCCAGAGTCTACAAGGCATGACATGGAGACATCGCACCCTGAGCCGGGCCGGATCAGCGTTGGCCCAAAGATTATCCCCAGGTTGTTGGGAGACATCTTGTTCTCTTCGTATCTCTGAGCCACCCTGGGAAAGGAAAACATCATGGTTAAAGGCCTCTCAGCCCCACTGCAGCGAGTGGGAGGGATGGAATGGGTGGTTAGTGCGGGAGCTGATGGCACCATTTCCTGGTACAGATATACATCCCGACCCTGGCAGGAACTGGATGTGTGAGGGAGATGGACAAGGTTCTGGTTTCCAACGCTCAGACTCCACTGAGACCCAGGAAGCTGCTCTGAGCTGGGTGAAAAGTCCAGCGCTGGATGAAAGGAGCTTGGGGCCACAGGCCCATGTCTCCCATTGCCCTAATGGGGATTCTGGCTCTGCACCTGGTTTAACTGTGAAGCGCCATCAGTTAAGGAGCGGCCAGACAGCTTATCTGGGACCAGGGCCTTTTCCTTCTCCCTTGTTGGGAGCTGCGAGAGTCTCACCTTTCTTCTGAATGGGCTTTTCCCTCCTCATGGCTGTCCCTTTGGGTCTAACCCTGCCCTTTTGCTAGCGAAGGAGGCTACAGACATGTCTGCACTTCCAGCTGAGGGTGTAATTCCCAACTCTCATCGAGTCACTGTGCTAAACACAGAATGTGGCTGTGGCAGTGTGATCAGGAGAGGCTAGCTGTCCTGAGCCAGCGATGCCAGACTCATCCTCGGGGTAGCTGGCCCCTCCCGCCACTTGCGCTGCTGTGGCTACAGGCTATTTTTAGCATGCTACCTCAAGGAGAGCGAGCTCGCGCATGTTTTCTCAAGCTGGAAATTATACCAACTCCAAGTGTAGATGTGTTCTAAGAGCTTCTTCTGGTACTGACCTGCCACTGTGCCAGATGCTCCTCTGGGAAGCAAGATCTCTGCAGCAATCTAACAGACCCCCTCCCCATCCAGGTGACACTAATCAGCAAGCCAGCCACTTGTCCCCGTCACCTGTACAGATGTGCAATGAGGTGTCGCAGGGTGTTGTAGTTAGTCCCAGGCAGTTTGCTCAGCAAGTCCTTCATGCTTTGAATGGGATCTGCTGAGAACCCTGAGCTGTCTCTCTTCCCTTCCCCAGGTCTCTGCAGGTCCTTGGCAAGCGCGATTAATTCATCGTAGAGCTCATACAGGAGCACTGGCCCTGACAGCTGTGGTGAGATGAGGGAGATTGTGTTACTGCAGCCTGCCTATTTGATGCTGTGGGGAAGTCCCATGAAGGACCTTTGCTGGTGTCAGTGGCCCCGCAGTCCTGGCCCCCTTCAGCCGCATGTTCCCAGGCTCATACCAACTCTTATCCCCATGATGTGCAGGCTAGTGATTGGCTCCCTGATTTCACATGAACTTCTAGGGCCTGCAGAGAAGGCCCAGGCCTCGCCAGAATTGCCGTTCACATGAAATTAATATTGGGAATCTCAGAAATAACCCAGGCCTGCTACTGCTCAGGGAAGTATTGGTCTCATCTGCCCTTTATCACTGCAAGCCATGAGCCCTGGTGGGGTCAGGAGACTTCACAGTGACCATCTTCCCAGTCACTCCCATGGCACCAGAGAAGGTGGAAGTTAGGAGATCAGTGCCTGGAATTAATCCCTAATTCTACAGTAAACAAACAGACATCAACACATCCCAGTGCCTCAAAAACCCAGCTAAGAGCAAGCCAGGAACAGGGGTTGCCATCCTCCCAGAGATGCACCAGAAACTGAAGCCAGGAGACTGCAAGAAGCCAGGACCAGAGACTGATCCTGGTTCCTCCTGGGGAATTGCTACCCACCTCCTTCAAGAAATGCTTCAGGACGCCAGTGATGTCATGAGGAGAATGTTCTGAGAGCTCCACCAGCTCCCTCCCGTTTTCAAATGCCTGGCAGAGCTTCTCCACCCGGGCCTTGGCTCCACTTATCCGATAGATCCCCTGCATTGTTGAAATGGGGAAAGGTCAAGGGATCCTGGTTAGAGAATCTGAGAAGAGTGGGGAGGGGAGGGGATGGGGCCAGGAACTAACAGGACAGCTTAATTTCTGCAGCTAAGGCCAAGAAGGAATGTGACATTGTGTCTTTCCCTCTGTGGACAGGAAACAAAGGGTGATGTGCAGAGACTCATACCCAGCTACCCCCATGATGGGGCATTAAAAATACCAGAGCTAGAGGAAACTAGAGAGAATTTTAATTAGTCTGTCTTGATGCCAGGTGACCTGTGTCAGCTGCCTTGGCCACCGTCAATGGTTCACTGGGGAAACCCCCTTTGTGAAGTGCCTTGAGACAAAAGTTACCAAGTAAGGGCTTAATGTGGTTCCTGTCAAAGTCCAAGGGAGTGTAATCCTGGTCCCCAGCAGGAGCAGGCCCAGGCCCTGTGCTGGACTCTACCCCAGGGCTGCTCACCTGCACTCCGAGGGCACGTGCCTCGATTTCTGAGGTGCATTTCACAACTATGAATGGAACCTCTTCCGGGAAATCCCGAGGGACCTGTGTGAAGTCGATGCCAAAGAGGGGCACTCGGCTGGGCAGCTTCTTGTGGCCGCAGGTGATCAGGAGGTTCTCTAGGCACTTCCTGTGGCAGGTCAGGTAGCACTGCAATGGTAGGACGATATTGCAGTTAGGCACTAATTACAGTTCAGCAAGGACAACTCCAGAAGCTGGGGAAAGTGTCTCCCCCTGGGGCACATCCCTTCTCCTGTTCCCTCCATTCACTGTTCCACATCTCTCTCCAGAAGCGCCTCAGTGGGAGATACGTTCCCCTTTGCCTCCCTTTCCTCAGCTGTTATGGCAGAGCAGCCTGGGGTGAGGGACAGGGAGATGGTCATGCACTGAATTATTGGCCTCACAAAGGGGGGCCCATTCACATAGTTTTGCAGGGGGGACATGCCTGCAGTGAAATACCTTACACTGGGGCCAGGGGGAGCTGGTTATCTACAGTCCAGGGTGTTCTGAGCTCTCACCTCTTCACACTCGGTGCCACTGACCATAAAGGTTTCACACTCCCTGCACTTGGACGGACCCCGCAATTTCCGCAGCCGGTGGGTCTGTGCTGCACTCGACAGAGAGATGTTCTTAAACTGACACTGGGATGATCCATTTTCTGGTGCAGCAACCATATAAATAACAAGGAGACATTACTAAAAGTCACTCATGCCATCTAGAAATGCAAAAGAATTAGCAGCCCATTTCTCTAGACAGCTGGGCAGATCTCTTGTAGCGCTATCTATTTGAGATGATAAGGGGTTCTCAACATAATGACTGGTGGTTATTGGCTGAACTAGAGGGGCCTGAAATAGAATTTGGGACATTGCTGCCAGTCATAACTGAGCAGCAGTAGCACTACTATACTGAGGTTCAGGGCTGGAATACCATTGGGGTTGTGGATTGGGAGGGGCATCAACAGAGCTGCTGGGGGGAGCCCAGGTTTGGAATAGCAGGGGCCTGTGATTTGGGATTGAGGAGCATCAGCAAAGCTGAGTATGTTGGGTGGGGAGCCCAAAGATGGAATAGCAATGGGGGGGGGGCGGCGGGTCCAAATTGGGGGGCATCAGCAGGGTTGTAGGGGGGGGTGTATGGAAAGCTCCCTTTCATAAGCATAACAGAATGGGGGAGCACAAGAGACGCAGGATGCTCTCCTACTGTTTCTTTTTATCAGTCACACAGATTTCTTTATTGCTCACCATTTTCATATGTTTGACATGAATCTCTCTCTTCAAAATCATCCGAGGAGGACATGGTGCCTGTGGATGAAGCTTTTAGCAACTTCCTACTTTGGTGCCCTGGAGACAAGGAGGAAGGTTTTACATTATACAAAATACAAGATGTCCTTTATTTATGTATTGCACATTATAGAAAAAATTAAAAAAGCTCCAAATCCACGTTTAATTTCTATTGAAGTTTTTTTGTTAGTATGAACATTAGGCAGAAAGTGCCATTCTTCTCACCTGGGCTAGAGGTGGGAGAGTCCAGGGACCGGGATTCGCAGCTCCCACCCAGGCTTTCTGTGTCACTGTAGAAGGACTTGTTTGCACCTGTAAAAGGTGAAATAAATGAGACGGATCATCCCAACACCCTGACTAATGTCTCAGCAGCAGTTTCTAAAAGAGCCCATGCTCATCTGCTGGGTTCTTTACTCTTACTGACAATGCCTCAAAACAACTGACCTTTCTGCTAATATCTTTTAAAACAGAAACACACAAGCATGATGAGAGCCTGATAATCCAAAGAGCAATCTGGAGGCATTTTTGCTGAATCATGCCATGCTTTTTAAAGACCTTTAGGAAATGTCCTTTTGTGCCAGAAAAGTTTAATGACAATTATTTTCTACCGTAGTGAGATGATTTCCAAAATGTCTTTGAGAAATTGTAAGATGGTGAAAGGGGTGTTAAACCTGCAATGAAATGCGATGCTCTGTGGAAAGAGGATGTAAAACTTGAGAATACAATATACCATTCAAGGAACTGAACTGAAGGAATAACAAGAGAAAGCTTACAGGCTGCACTGCCCGTCACAGCCCACTCTAAGGTGGTTTTCATATAGAGGATAGTCAAGCATGGGGTTAAATCAAAACATGGGGTTATAAAAGTGATGCTGCAAGTAAAGGGGTCTGAGGGTACACAGGATGTCCCCAGTCCCCAGACTGCCAGAAAATTCGTAAATGTTTTCACAGGACAGAGAAACAACAAAGTTTCAGAAAAAAATCTCCATTTCAGGTCACACACCAGGAGATGAACAAGAGCTTCCAACGCATTCGGGGCATGAACCAGCTTGTTTGTACCTTTATTAAAATGCTGTAAGGCTTATGTACCATGCAAATAGACTACACCTGCTTTATCCATGACAGCATCTCCTGGTTAAAGCTCAGAATGACTTTCACAGCTGACTTTTTTTTCCTTTTGGAACACACCTCTTGTCTAAGATGCATGTGGATGGGGAGTGAATAAAACCTGACACTTTGTGAGATAAAAGTAAATTTTTCTGATTCAATCAGGGAACAAATTTTCATGAACCTGAATCCCTTTCCATAAAATTGCAGCAGCCAAACCACACACAGTCCCAGTCTGGAGAAAGTCCTGGGCTCTGACTCCAGAGGTTATTAATAACCTAACCTCTCCTTGCTACTCTTGACTACATACATATATGAATCAAGCGGCAGTGACATAACAGAGAGTTAACTTTTCCTTGTTAAATTAAACCTACTTTGTTCACTGTTTGTGGAAAACTGCTTTCCTGATGCATCTTCTGCGTAGGTGCTCAGATCAGCTGCAGAGGATGAGATGCAGGAGTATTGCACTGCATTCTTTTTTCTGCCACTAGGAGGAGACCTGAGAATGAAATACACAGAGAAACAAGGTAGATGAGGAAATATTTTTTATTCAACCAACTTCGTTTTGTGAAAGAGACAAGCTTTTGAGCAACACAGACTTATTCAGGTCTGGGACCACCATGACTACAACAATGCTTCAAATGAAATACACAAGAAGGGGGCATTTTGTGTTTTGTTTTTAAAATTGTCTTTCATTAGTTCAAATGTTATTGCCCCATAGATGTACATGGTGCTTTAGAGACATATAAGATGACCAGGTCCTCGCCTCCGGGAGTTTACAGGTAGTTGAAGGTTGGACTTTTCAGAGAAGCCTAGGGCAAGTGCACACCAGATTGACAGTCAATACTAAGAACATAAGAATGGCCACACTGGGTCAGAGCAATGGTCCATCTAGCCCAGTATCCTATCTTCTGACAGTGGCCGGTGGCAGATGCTTGTGAGGGAACGAAGAGAACAAGGCAATTACGGAGTGATCTGTCCCCTGTCGTCCAGTCCCAGCTTCTGGCAGTCAGAGATTTAGGGACACCAGAGCATGGGATTGCATCCCTGACAATCTTGGCTAATAGCCATAGATGGACCTGTCCTCCCTGAACTTATCTAATTCTGTTTTGAACATAGTTATATTTTTGGCTTCCACACTATCCCCGGCAATGAGCTCTGCAGGTTGACTGTGCATTGTGTGAAGAAGTACTTCCTTATAAAAACAACAAGGAGTCTGGTGGCACCTTAAAGACGAACAGATTTATTTGGGCATAAGCTTTCGTGGGTAAAAACCTCACTTCTTCGGATGTTGTTTTTGTAGATACAGACTAACACGGCTACCCCCTGATACTTCCTTATGTTTGTTATAAACCTGTTGACCATTAATTTCAATATAACTAAGTTTAATATAATTTCCCTCATATTTTCAGTCTACAGGAAATATATAAATACGGGTAGTTTGGAAATCAAATATCATACATATGAGATAATGAAGATCAATACATTAAACAAGTGGGAGAAACAACTCCTGACTTGGGGCAGACAGCTGGACCAAGTTATCCTTGTGCAGGCCCTAACACTTACTGATCATCACAAGGAAACCAAATGATCTTTGGGAGTCTGTTCTCTGCTAATATTAATGGAAGCTATGCAGAGTCCTCAAGGAGAGAACAGACCCTTTTGGACTTTGGCTTGTGGTACTTCTCAAAGTTATCAACTAGCCCGTTCCATGTCTTCTCAGCATTAATAACCCTGCTGCATCACAAGTGATTTTATAGCGTAAAATGTTTTAAATGAGTCTTTTTATTCAGCTTATTATACATTTCAAGCCCTGGAGCCACCAGCTCTGGTTCTACATTTCTTTACCTCTGCCCTGCAGGAATAAATGCTTCAAATTCAAACACCTCCATGGGGATCTCTTTCTTCTGCAGCTTCTGAATGAATTCCAGATATTTCTCACCCATTCTGTAGGGCTTGCAGTACTCAGTCATGTTCTCGTACCCCACTGGAATCTTCTCTGCCTGAGTCTGCTGCAACTTGAACATCCTCAAGGTGACCTTATGGAAATCCCAAAAAGCATGAAACACCCCTAGGCCTGGTGACCCTCTCTTTCCCTTGAATCTCAGGTGTGTCCCTCAGGCTCCCGGTTCAGTTTGTAAACAAGGCTCTTGCACAGGCGCCACGCTTTCCTGCTTATTGATATAGCTGCCTAGCATTTTAGTTTCACCTTATTAATGAAATTACTCAAAGAATTGCACTTAATTTAAATAAATCTGCATATAAGCCCATTAGCCAGTGAAAACACAGACCCCTACCCCATATCCAGCTGCTATAGGAACTGTACTTCAGTCACGGTCATTGGTAAAGCTGGTGTTGGCTCCTCTGGGCAAGCCAAGAGAGGACTTCACCTCCTCTATGCTGAATCATATACAGGATGAGCTTTGCTCACTGGCTCTGAGCCTGCTCTCTAGCCTCTGTTTTTGTCTCCACATCATCTGTCACCAGATTCAGCCTTGTCCCACAGACTCCCCTGATTCAGTAGGCGGTTTGTGGTCACTATAGCTATGTATGGGACCACTGATCCTTGCAAAGTCAGCACGGAAGCGATGCTCAGGGTGTGATCTGGGTTCCGATTGCTTGAGAACCATCACATTAATTATCTGTATAGTAGAGAAAGATCAGGTGGCTCTATCCTGAATGATGACGTCCCTGAGACTGGAGCAAGTGGCACAGCAGTGTCATACTCACCCGTGTCAGCACCTCATCTCCTTGGTAAATGAGTTTCCGGATATGGGAGACAATTCTCTCCCGCACCTTTTCCAGCTCCTGCCGACGAGAGTTGGCATCACTGATGCACATCTTGTAAGAAACTTCTGTTTCCTGAACCTGGGTGCAGCAAAATAAAGAATGAAGAAGCAGCAATGCCAGGCGGAGAACCTTGGAAATCGCAAGCAGGCGACCACAGTGCAGCCATGAGTGGGGTGACACGTGATAACACAGAACACAATGGGAGATGAGCTGAATGGGGCTATCGGCTTGTTTGTTAAGCATTTATATGAAGTCTTAGTGCTGATTTTCAATACTTTTGTTGATAATTTTAAAAAATCAAAGATGGGACAAATATTTTTGTGAAAAATTAAAAATTTCAGTAATATCAACAATTTTTCATGAAAAAAATTGTTTTGGAAAAAAGGCCATTTTTAAACAAAACAAAACTTTGCATTCAAAAAATTTTGGTCACCTCTAATTAACAGGCTGCAAACTCTCCATAAGGCTAGTGAATTCAAAACTTGTCTGTGTCACTGGAGCATTCTGCGTTGCTCTGCAGCACATTCAGTTGTAATGCTAGGTGTTCAGCCTACAGGGGTATCTAGCCCAGCATGGCAAAGCCACTGAGCACTGAATATTCCTCTTTACATGAGGAACAAGCTATGTCAGGGTCCCAAACTCTTCTGGGCACAGGTGTCTTTGTGGGTGCCAAAAATGGGAAAGAGCAGAGGATAGCCAAAATGATTAAAGGCTGAAAACTCAAGACCTAGCCCTGATCAACCCCACATCCCAGCAGCAAAGGATGAACCTAGTGGCTGCCTCATAATATTTTACTTAGTGTCCAATATTACAAGTGGCTTCTAGTTCATTGAGTCCGTTTTCAGTTATCTGTATAAGAGAGAAGTGATACAACCCCATCACCTTCACTTGTGCCTCCTCACGAGAGCGGCGCCGTTTCTCCAGCTGCTTGTTGGCGCTGCCAGGGTGGGTTGCTGCTATGACCTGGTACTCATCTTCTGCCTTGGCACTCAGCAGCTTGGCTTTCTCCAACTCCTCGCAGCGCTGTATGTAGTGAAGGCGGGACTTGCGCAAGGATGACAGTGAATCATTCTGGAATCCAAGAAGGAGGGCGTTTAGGGCACATCGTCAGACTGGAAGGAGACTGGGACCACAAGTCTGCTAGCCATAAAAGCATCTGTTTTGTGGGTGCCGAGTGTCACTTACTCTAAGGCCAGTGCTAGCCAGCGTCAGACTGTGGAGAGGACTCTATGCAAGCGTCACTTACAATACCAAGGAGTAGGACTAGAATTCAGCATCTCCTGGCTCCCACCGCTGTTCTCACTCCTCCTGACCACACTGCCTTGACTCATCACCATCCTCATTGCACACCTCCAACTAATTATTTACATATTAATGATGATTGTCATTAGGCTTTAGAGCATGTACCCCATTGAGATGGATGGGTATCTCTATACTGCAATTAGACACCCACGCTGGCCCATGCCAGCTGACTAAGGATCATGGGGCTTAGCCTAAGGGATTTTTAATTGCAGTGTAGATGTTAGGGCTCAGGCTCCAGCCCAAGCTCTGGGACCCTCCCACCTCCCAAAGCAGTGTAGGCCAGGGTAAAGGGTTCCCAGTAAGGCTGCTGTTAGCACTTCTCTCTACGTGTTCTGAGAGGCCCCATGTTCTCAGTGTTCTGGGCCTGTAGCTGTCAAGATGGCCTGGCTCTCTCACCATTTTCCATCTCTTAGTCTCTTACCATTCTTTTCTGTTCCTTTAGCCATTGATCTTTGAATTCTTTCCGCCACTTCTCAATTTCATTCCTCTTGGCTGTGAGGGGCTGCAAGGGAATAAAGGTACAGGTGAAAACAGCTTAGCTATACTCTAGCTCAGCCAGAAGCTATTGGGCTTGATGCAGACACCACTGAGAGCCTTATGTTAGACAGGAAGTCACATGAAATGGTCACAATGGTCTCTTCTGGCATTAACATTTCTGAGCCCCAAACGTGATCCCTCACCTTGTCTTACAAAGGCTGGGGCTGGAGCTGTTTAAGGATCAGTGTCAGGATGCTAACCCTACCCCTCTACTCCTGCAGCCTCTTTTCATACCCACACCAGTAAAGAGTTACATTAAACCAAGTCACTTCATGTCATCAAGATTGCAAGAGGGGAAAGTCTGCAGCACCTGCCCTGCCTCGGCCTGAGTAACTGGGCAACCTAGCGGGGAGGCAGAAAAACTCCTTCCAAGTCACTCAGGGTATGTCTACAGAAACTACACCATCTGCTAAAAAAACTCCCTGACAAACCACAGGAACAAATCTGTACAGACACATGCCTAGAACCCCGACCAGGGATATTCTATTTGCTACCCAAGATCCATAAACCTGGAAATCCTGGACGCCCCATCATCTCAGGCATTGGCACCCTAACATCAGGCTTGTCTGGTTATGTGGACTCGCTCCTCAGACCCTACGCTACCAGCACTCCCAGCTATCTTCGAGACACCACTGACTTCCTGAGGAAACTACAATCCATTGGTGATCTTCCAGAAAACACCATCCTGGCCACTATGGACGTAGAAGCCCTCTACACCAATATTCCACACA